GCCACCCTGATTCTTCTCCACATACCTGTTCTTGTCAAAGCAGGAAGGCAAATAATAAAATAAATAAAATCATATAATTAGAAGAGACTACAAGCGCCACCCAGTCTAACCCTATTTTGCCATGCAGGAACATAGAACCCTCAACAGATGTTCATCCAGCCTTTGAGGAGACAGCATATTCCATTGTGTTGTCTGAGGTAGTAAAGTGTTAGCCTTCCTTATGGTCCAGCTCTCGCATCCATTGGTTACTACAGGGAATACCATTGCTTTAACTATGTGGATCTTCATGGCCAGTGTGATATCTCTACTCTTCACTATTTTATCAAGATTGGTAATTGCTGTTGCACTCCAGACCAGGAAAACCCCTCTGACATTAAACACCATGCAGTTGAGTAGGAAAAACAATTCCTTTATTGAAGATAATGAAAAAGCAGTAAAGTAAAAAGCACTTTAAAGAAATAGGTAAATCCAATTATGTAGGAAGATAAGCGGGAACAAAGTAGTCCAGGGTAATAGTCCATCAAAGTCCATGAAAAACAAAGGCAAAAACATCTCTAATAAAATCCAAGAAACCAGGAAACATGGATCCAAGGCATGAATATAAAATCATAGAATCTAAGAATCAAAACCATGAAACAAAGGCACTTAAGCATGAATCTTTCCAAGCAAAGCTTCCAAGAAACAAGGATGAGAACTTGACTTGATTCCAAACTATGCTTCCCCTGACTACATATCCTGTACTTGGGACTTTTATCTCCTCTTTAAGGTATGTCCCAAGCGCTCAGAAATTGATTTCGCTTTAGCTGTGAGTCTCTTACCTTTCTCTCTCTCTGAGCCTGGCATAATGCCAAAGCCTCTGTTTGGCTCTTCTGTTTTGCCTAATCTCCTCCCATCTATCTATTTACTCATTAATTTCTGCAGCTGGGCCAGGTGCCGAGCTGTTTTCAAGCTCCAAATCATGGGAATTCTCTGGTAGCAATTCAGGGAGCACACCATCATCCCCACACCCTTCAGGGACATTCTCATGAGAAACTACGCTTTGAACAGGGATCTCCTGTTCATTCTCTGCTTCAATATCATTGACCAGACCATTTCCATCTTAAAACCCATTGTCATCACTCCCCACATCTAAAGCACCCTGATCCTTAAACACAGTCACAGGCTGAGCTCCAACAATTGCTCTCCTCCCAAGAAGTAAATGTCTTCTGATTTCTGCGTCTGCAGTAATCTTTGTGCCTACAAATAAAAAGCCTGTCATTTTTACTATTTGCCAGTTATCAATCAGTCTGGTTGCCATCATCTTGGTTTTTTTTAATGTTTAACTGTAACCCAGCTTTTGCACTTTCTTCTTTCAGCTTGGTTATCAGGCTCCTCGCCTTCTCACTTTCAGCCATGAAAGTGGTACAATCTGTATATCTAAGGTTGTTAATGTTTCATCCAGCAATTTTAACTCCAGCCTTCGATTCGTCAAGCCCCACATGTTGCATGATGTGTTCTGCATACAAGTTGAATAGGTGAGAATACAGTGTTCCCTCACCTATTGTGAGGGTTCAGTTCCAGGAACCCCCACGATAAGTGAAAAACCGCGATGAAGGATACTGTATAAGTACAGTATAGCTCTGCCCATTCCTCTCTCCCCCCCCCCTCTTCCTCTCCTCTTTTCCCTTCCCTTCTTCCCCCTCCCCTTGCTGGAGCCACCCTTCTCCCTCCCTCCCTGCTTCCCCACTGGCATGGGGCTCTCACCCAGTTGTTCCTTCACTACTTGTATTTTTTTTTTGAAAAGCCACGAAATAGCGAGTCCATGGTTAGCAAACCACGAAGCGGCGAGAGAACACTGTAGACAGCCCTGCCATACTCCTTTCCCAATCTTGAACCAGTTGGTTTTTCTGTGGTCTGTTCTTACTGCTGCTACTTGGTTGCTATATAGATTCCTCAGGAGACAGATAAGGTGACTTGATATCCCCATACCACCAAGAACTTGCCAGTTTATTATGATCCACATTGTCAAAGGGTTTAGAATAGTCAATAAAACAGAAATAGATGTTTCTCTGGCACATAGATACATGATAATATATCTAGTTACACAGGGCCGTAGCCAGAAAAAAATTTCGGGAGGGCTTGAGATTTTCGGGGGGGGGGGGTTGAAAATTTCGTGGGGGGGGGCAGAGCAACCTTCCATAGCCTGCAGCTCCGCCCTGTCAACCACCTCCACCAAGTCTGGCCTCCTTAATGAGAGCATTCAACACCCCCCCCCCCCAACTTGGTTGCTTCGCTACATCGGCTATTGCTGAAAGTAATGACAGTGTGAATAAATTGTCAATATTTGCTTGAGATAGTGCTTGCAGTTCTGGAGGGACTCTTAATTTTTTGCATCTCATAGACTTAGCATGGGGATTTGGTTAACCAGTTAAAATTCATGAGTAAACCAAGTTTTAAAAAAAGCTGAAACATTTCGGGGGGGGGGGGGGTTGAACCCCTAAAACCGCCCCCTCGCTACAGGCCTGTAGTTACATTCCAAATAGACTACTCCAATGCGCTCTACGTGGGGTTGCCTTTGAAGACTGTTCGGAAGCTTCAAATGATCCAGCGGGCAGCAGCCAGATTGCTCACCAGAGTGGCATTCAGGGAGCATACAACCGCTTTCTTATGCCAACACCACTGGCTGCTAGTTTTCTACGGGGAACAATTCAAAGTGCTGGCTTTAGCCTATAAAGCTCTAAATGGTTCCGGCCCAGCTTACCCATCTGAATGTATCTCTCCCTATGAACCATCTAAGAATTTAAGATCGTCCAAAAAGGCCCTGCTCTCGGTCCCGTCTTCTTCGCAGATCCAACTGATGGGGACGAGAGACAGGGCCTTTTCATTGGTGGCCCCTAAACTATGGAACGCCCTCCTCAGGGATTAGATCAGCCCCATCCCTCTTGACCTTCTGGAAAAAAGTGAAAATGTGGCTTCAGAATCTAATGCAACAGGCAAACATAGTATTAGACGTGAAAGTGAACATTGGAATGGCTGAGACGACGATTTTTGGACAATGAGACTAACAGTGAAGTCACTGGTTTTATATGTTTTGTTGAATGCATTTTTAAATCTGTTAATTGTATGTCGTTAGGCATCAAATGGCTGCCTGGTTGTAAGTCGCCTTGAGTCACCTTCAGGTTCAAGAAAGGCAGGATAGAACTATTGCAAACAAATAAATACATACATACATTTATTTATTTATTTATAAAGTCAGGAGCAAACCAAACAGTTGTACTGCATTAAAAAAACACACATAAAGTTTGCAAACTTGGCATTCTTTTAAATGTCCTTTGACCAGTATCTGGCCACTTGGAGTGCCTCTAGTATTGCTATAAGGTCCTCCATTGTGCATGTAGTAGGGCTCAGGTTGCATTGCAGCAGGTGGTCAGTGGTTTGCTCTTCTCCACACTCGCATGTCATGGATTCCACTTTGTAGCCCCATTTCTTAAGATTGGCTCTGCATCTCGTGGTGCCAGAGCGCAGTCTGTTCAGCGCCTTCCAAGTCACCCAGTTTTCTGTGTGCCCAGGGGGGAGTCTCTCATTTGGTATCAGCCATTGATTGAGGTTCTGGGTTTGAGCCTGCCACTTTTGGACTCTCACTTGCTGAGGTGTTCCAGCGAGTGTCTCTGTAGATCTTAGAAAACTATTTCTTGATTTAAGTCATTGACGTGCTGGCTGATACCCAAACAAGGGATAAGCTGGAGATGTCACTGCCTTGGTCCTTTCACTATTGGCTGCTACTTCCCGGTGGATGTCAGGTGGTGCAATACCGGCTAAACAGTGTAATTTCTCCAGTGGTGTAGGGCGCAGACACCCAGTGATAATGTGGCATGTCTCATTAAGAGCCACATCCACTGTTTTAGCGTGGTGAGATGTGTTCCACACTGGGCATGCATACTCAGCAGCAGAGTAGCATAGCGCAAGGGCAGATGTCTTCACTGTGTCTGGTTGTGATCCCCAGGTTGTGCCAGTCAGCTTTTGTATGATATTGTTTCTAGCACCCACTTTTTGCTTGATATTCAGGCAGTGCTTCTTGTAGGTCAGAGCATGGTCCAGAGTTTTGTTTTGTTTTTGTTTTTTTGTCGTGTCAGGAGTGACTTGAGAAACTGCAAGTCGCTTCTGGTGTGAGAGAATTGGCCGTCTGCAAGGACGTTGCCCAGGGGACGCCTGGATGATTTGATGTTTTTATCATCCTTGTGAGAGACTTCTCTCATGTCCTCGCATGAGGAGCTGGAGCTGATAAAGGGAGCTCATCCGCCTCTCCCCGGATTCGAACCTGTGACCTGTCGGTCTTCAGTCCTGCGGGCACAGGGGTTTAACCCACTGTGCCACCGGGGGGTCCTATTGTCCAGAGTGACTCCCAGGTATTTGGGTGCGCTGCAATGCTCCAGTGGGATTCCTTCCCAGGTAATCCTCAGAGCTCAGGTTGCTTGTCTATTCTTGAGATGAAAGGCACAGGTCTGTCTTTTAGATGGATTAGGGATCAGCTGGTTTTCCCTGTAGTAGGCAGTAAGAGCACCTAGAGCTTTGGATAGCTTCTGTTCAACCATCTCAAAGCTCTCTGCTTGAGCAGTAATGGCACGATCAACAGCATAGATGAAACTCTCTGTCCCTCCAGAAGCGACCAGATAGACAGATGATAGCTAGAGAGGTGCTCCCTTCCCATATTATATAGATACCCACCCCCAAGCGCATTTGAGGGTGAACTAAGAGGGGGTCCCAGAAGAGGCCCCTTCCTTCCCTCCCTCCCTCAGGCAGCGCCTCTCCAACTTTCGCGCGCCGCTGGCTCCTCCTCGCGCGCGCAGGGGAACTTTCCGTCCCCAAAGCGCCCAACAGCCGCCCCGCGCACCTCAAGGTGCCTTTGGCGGTTGGTTGGTTGGTTGGTTGGTTGGTTGGTTGGTAGATGGGTGGGTGGGTAGGAGGGTGCGCGCGCGGGCTGGAGTGCGCCTGAGTGTGCGCGTGCGCGTGTGCGCGGCAGCCAGCCAGCCACCGCCGCTTGCGAGGAACGGACTGTTGCTCCTTCGTCCCTCAGACGCGCGCGCGCACACACACACACTCACGCTCGCATACACGCGGACGTTACTCCATCCTCTAGCCTCCCTCCCTCCCTTGTTTTGAGAGGTGAGGGATTAAAAGTGAGGGAAAGGCACAAGAGCGGCTGCTTGCCATGAGGCTGCCTTCGCCGCCTTCCTCCTCCTGACGGGAGCGCGCGGGGAGAGGACTAAGGAGGCGAGCGAGCGAGCGAGCGAGGGAGCGGAGGCGCGGCGWGGAGAAGTAGCCCAGCCCTTCCTTGCCTTGGGAGTGAGTGGCCCAGGGAGAGCGCTGGCTTGCCAAGAGGGGCTGGGAAGCGCGCCAGAGGCTGAGCCCAGCCCTCTCCGCTCCCCTTCAACGTTTCTCCGCCTTTGCAACCCTCCCCGGCGGGCTGGGGCTGCTGGATGTGAGGCGCCGGGGCTGTCCCTTCCTCTGCCTTCTGCCCGCCTTGGGCTTGCGATGCCGGCTTCCCTTGGGCATGCCAAACCGCGCACAGGATGAAGGCAGGTGGGTCCCCCCGCTTTCCCTCCTCATTTGAACGGCMCCCTCCTCCCTTTCCCCTTCTTCTTCTTCTTCTTCTCCCCCCCCCCCTCCTCCTTCCCCGTTTCTCTCCAGATGTCAGGAAAAGAATCATAGCAACAAGGCGGTGTCAGTCACCTCATTACCGGGGTCTCTCTTCCGAGATTTGTTTTTCTCCTTCTTCTGGAAGATGATGAATCTTTCATGCAGCTGCCTTCGCTGGTCCGAGCTTCACAATTTGCACTTGATTGCAGCTCTTTAAAAAAAAAATTATAAAAAAACAACCCCAGATCCGGTTGCTTGAAGTGATGGGAGATAAACACAGATGGGGAATAATGAGCCCGAGCTGGAGGGGATGTAAGATGTGGTGAAATCAAGGGAAGTGATGCTTTTTGACCATTTCTGCCAGCCCAAAGCCCCCCACAAAGACAGAGGAGGATCAGCCAGGTTTGTTTACCTTTGGAAAGTGCAAGGGGTGCTTTTGGCGTAGTTGTCACTTCTCTTATGGCAAATGGCAGAAGTGAGTTTCTTCATCAGTCTTCTTTCCCGCAGCATTCTGTGTTTTCGAAGGCTTTCATGGCCGGAATCACTAAGTTGCTGTTGGTTTTCTGGGCTGTATGGCTATGTTCCAGAAGCATTCTCTCCTAACTTATCGCCCACATCTATGACAGACATCCACAGACTCCTCAACCTCTGAAGATGCCTGCCATAGATGTGGGCAAAACCTCAGGAGAGAGTGCTTTTGGAACATGGCCATACAGCCTGGAAAACTCGCAGCTACTTTGTGTGTTTGTTTTTTCAATGGTCCCTGCTTCCTCTCTTCACCTGGTAGGTCAGTCTTCTAGAATGCCAGAGGAAAGTTCCCCACGGAAGACACCCCAGAATGTGCCCTATCGGGACCTCCCTCACCTGGTCAATGCGGACGGGCAGCATCTCTTCTGCAGATACTGGAAACCAGCCACCACACTAAGGTATTTATTCATGCATTTGTTTTCTTTCTCTCCATATTGGGAAGGAAGCACTTATGGTAGCATTTCTCAACCTGGAGGTCGAGACCCTTGAGGCGGGTCACAAAAGGGTGTCAGAGGGGTCGCCAAGGACCATGAGAAAACACAATATTTTCTGTTGTTCATGGGGGTTCTGTGTGGGAAGATTGGCCCAATTCTATCATTGGTGGGGTTCAGAATGCTCTTTGATTGTAGGTGAATTATAAATCCCAAAAACTACAACTCCCAAATGTCAAGACCTATTTATCAAAAACTCCACCAGTGTTCACATTTGGACATACTGAGTATTCGTGCCAAGTTTGGTCCAGATCCATTATGGTTTGACTCCACAGGGCTCTCTGGATGTAGGTGAACTACAACTCCAAAACTCAAGGTCAATGCCCACCAAACCCTTCCAGTATTTTTGGTTGGTCATGGGAGTCCTGTATGCCAACTTTGGTTCAATTCCATTGTTGGTGGAGCTCAGAATGCTCTTTGATTGCAGGTGAACTATAAATCCCAGCAACTACAACTCCCAATTGACAAAATCAATCCCACCCCACCCCTACTTCACCAGTATTCAAATTTAGATGTATTAGGTATCTGTGCCAAATTTGGTCCAGTGAATGAAAATACATCCTGCATATCAGATATTTACCTTACAATTTATAACAGTAGCAAAATTACAGTTACGAAGTAGCAACCAAAATAATTTTATGTTCGAGGTCACCACAACATGAGGCACTGTATTAAGAGGTTGCGGTATTAGGAAGGTTGAGAAACACTGACTTATGGGATGCATTTTGTTATGAGGGAAGGAAGATTCAGACCACTGGTTCAGCTCCACCTGTGTTTCTACTGCACTGTGCAATTTATGTGGAATCATTCCTTGCCCTAGGAACCCCAGTGGTGCAATGAATTAAACCCTTGTGCTGGCAGGACTGCTGACCAAAAGATTGGCAGTTCGACTCTGGGGAGCAAATGTCAGCTCCAGTTTCTCATGTGGGGACATGAGGGAAGCCTCCTACAGGATGGTAAAACATTGGGACATCCCCTGATCAACATGCCTATAGGCAGTCAATTCTCTCACACCAGAGGCAACTTGCAGTTCCTCAAGTCGCTCCTGACCTGAGGGAAAAAAATCCTTGCCCTGAGGAACTTCTAGTGTAAATGTTCTCAGCATGTCCTGTATGTTGAAATTCTGCTCTATTGGGAAGGCCATCCCAAGTACTAGCAATATTGTTGCTGCAATAATGAGGAGTTGGCTATTAATCATTCAACCAGCCTCCTACTCATCAGAATAGACCTTATTAATTGCATGAGTAAAGCCAACTTGCATGAGTAAGGTTGGGAGAATATGGACATTTCTTTTCTCCCTCCCCTTAAAGCAGGCATGGGTAAACTTTGGCTCTCTGGGTGTTTGAGGCTTCAACTCCCACAATTCCTAACAGCCAATAGGCTGTTAGGAATTGTGGAAGTTGAAGTCCAAAACACCAGGAGGGCCAAAGTTTGCCCATGCCTGATCTAAACCCAATGAAACCCCATGCTATGAGAAAGCTCTAAAATAGATCATTCTGTTTTGCATTTAAACTGAACCCTACTGCCTTCATGAGCTGTATGAAGAGTGTACTTAGTCTTTGTTATTTTTAGAACTACCAAACCATAACTTAAGAGCACTGCTCTCTAATTGCCATAAATCCAAATGCATTGCCTCAGGTTTCATGCTTATCTTGTCATGTATCTGTAGCTGTATTTAGATGGCTCTTCTTCTTTCTCTTGTCAATAGGGTTTTGACAGAACTCAGAACTGGAGATACATTCAAATAATAGTCAGATTACTAAATAATCAGCCATTTGGTTAATCCCCCTTTCATAATCCACCAACATAATAGCTTCACACGTCGGTCTTGTGCTTCAACAACAAATATTGTACTTTGGATGGACATATCATGTAGATTATCCTCCTTATTTCAGCCTGTTCTCCCTTTTGTTTGCATTTGCTGGCTTGTTGAGAACACATGCTAGTTCTGATTATGGACAAGAATAACATGTAGGAAAGAGTGTAACTATTGTTCTGCACTTTGTCTTTTCTATGAGCCAAGCGGATAAGCTCTGTTTATTTTTGTATTGCAAGGCAAGAAATCAATTTTGGAAAACGGTTACCCAAGGAACAGCTTTTCTGTCTCAGTAGATTTTGTTGCAGTCCAGCTACAGTAGTTAAGAAGCCTTGCATGATGCGCTAAATGTCTGGTGCCAAGTTAAACACAGGAATATAAAACTTCCATACTGAGTCAGATCAGTCGTCCATATGGAAAAGTAATGTGTCTGTCCAACAACAGTCAAAGAAGAGCAGCAGAGACAAAGCAATGGAAATTATTGAAGGTGATGTGTGATGTGGGAGGGGAAATCTTGATATCCCCTTGTAATAATAGCCATCTTCCCCCCAATTCCTCAGAGGAAGTTTTTGCTAACAGCAACTGTAATGTGCCTACTGATGTGATTGCCAGTCTTTTGTTATTTGTGGAAGCTTCCAGGACCCCCTGCTCCAATTCACCTGGCTGAGAGACATAATAAATGTCATGGTTTTCATCTGTGATATGCTGGAAGATACATTATTTGACTCTATAGGTCTCCTATAGTATGTCCAGGCATTCATGAAGAGTACTCTGTCGTGCTATTCTAAAGAGGCATTATTTGGTTCCCCTCATCCTGTGCAGGTCTCAGATGTTTTCTGTTAAATTGGGTATCCCACATTGTTCCCATAGCCTACTAGATTTGTGTTTTTGCTTTAAGGAAAGACAGTGTATCAATGTGCATTCACAGAGGAAAATGCAGTGGGGATTTCTGTTTGAGGTTTTTGGTCTCAGCTGGTGCCTGCATGTGCTGCTGCTATGGAAAGGGAAACAGAGTGCAATTTCTTCTGTGTAGGCATGTAGAGAGATGTGTGCTTCAGGATGCATGTAACAGGTGTATTTTGTGTGCTCAGAACTTATATGGCCAGTCCATGATTACTCCTGTGACTTGCGTGTATAAGCTGACTGTCATGCAGTGCTGCTTCTTATCGTTACTTCTGACTAAGCACGAGGAGAGGGGATTTGTGAAGTAATTGTTTATAACAGAGCTTCCTGTTCATACTTATTAGAATTCCAATCCTTCTTATGAATAAGTGGGTTTTATCCGGCCTGAGTTTGTGGGGAAGAGTCTCCCCCAGACTGAATGAATTCCCCTTGGGTGTTTTATACTTAATGCAGTTTTGATGGAATAGGAATAGAAGAAGGTGGTTATAAAGAAGCACTTTTTGGCAGTGTTGATATTGTAGTTGTCACCCAATCCCCTGTACTGACAGCTTTCCAGGCTTGCTGTATTAGTGTTCCCTTTGGCATTAGATTGCAATGGATCATTTTACAGGTTATTGTGTTTGATACCTGGGTTTGATCTGACATTAAGATTACTTGATTCTGCAGTGAAAATCATCCCAAAGGTGTGTTTTCGTGTGGTGTTAGCCTCATAGGTTTAAATCTAGTTGCTTGTCCCAATTAGAGTAGATCTACCAAACAAATTACTGGGTAGTATGTTAGCACTTATGTAAATCCTATTGATTCAGAGGGTCTATTCTAGTAAGGACTAGCAGTTGAATTAAGGGCACAGTCTTAAAATTCTGATACTTCAGTATTCCTTTTCTATACTGTAGACTGCTAGAAATTCCAAAGACTAGTTCAACCTGTGGTGACACGGCTCTCTTTGCCACTAACTCCAGCGGATACCAGCTGCCACTGGACATTAGCTGATCTTCCTGGTGGTTACTCCAAAGTGCAGCACTAATTTATCTGTCTGGTTAGGAATCCATGGCCATAGGTGCAGTTTTTGGAATGTTGGAGACAGTGTTCTTTTGATCTGACTGAATGTGAAAGTTTTGTGTTCCTCCTGGCTTTGCTTGTTTAGCCTGTGATGTAAAGCTTGTGAGCTGCAAGCATTGTTTGAACATTTCCCCAAAGCAGTTCTTCAAACAAAATGTACTCTTTCCTGATTCTGGGAGTGTTGCTTTCTTTACCATAGTACATTGTTTCCCATATCATTCACTATGACAGAGTCCACCAGTGGAATATCGACTCTATCCAGGGCCTGTCTTTAAGCTAGCAACCTTTCACCTAGAAACCCAGCTTGCTGAGCCCTCCTGGTCTGATCTCTACAACAGCTAAAAAGCCACTCTCTGCAATAGTGCTTCAGTATCATTTCAAACACATTTTCTTTGCAGCTCGTGTGGACTTCTAGAAGTTAAGGATGTGCCCATTTTAGCAGTGTTATTCTTAAAGTCAGTAAAAGAAACCTACCCAGATTTTGAGCTATCCTTTTAAAGTACGTATTGTGGCCCTGTTGTGACTATATATGATCTGCAGAGGATCTGCGGTAAACCCAAAGGGAAATTTCCTAGCACTGCTTGGAACAAGTGTCCTGGCATCATGCTAAAGAATGCCTCTGCTGAACCAATTCAGTATCAAAACAAGCTTATGTGAAACCAGCCTGTCACGTATTATAATGCTAATTAATCATTAACTGCCCACAGTGTTCTTCAGTGAGTTGCAGAACTGCGTTCGCCTTTCATGTTTAATTTCTTAGCAAATTAGTGGTGTTCGCATGAGTCTTTGATCCAGAAATGAAAGGATGATAAAGCAGTGAAAGTTAGAACTTGGCACTCATTCCTCTCGGTAGCTTGCCTGTTTCGCGCAATGTGCACACCAAGCGGTTAATTGAGAGCAAGATTGGCCTACTTTTGTGACAACAAAGTAAACAGGATCAGTGCTGCTCACTTACAAGTGGCTGTTAAGTGTGTGGAGTCATTTATTTTTAGCCCCTGTTGTATTACGGGTGTGTGTGAGAGAGAGGTAGATTGTAGGCCACTGAATAATAATTAGGAGACTGCATCCAACTTTCACGGGACAGTCTTGAAAGACATGGAGAAATGGAGATAACATCTTTTTTTCTGTC